CGATTTAACTCCCGCACTACTTGAGCTAACTGACTGTGAGTTCTGGAGCAGTAGTAAATTTTTGTTAGGAACGATGACGGCACAGAAGACACGCCTAAATCCCTGATAAACAGCACAGCAATAGAAGAAGTTGTAATTTCCTTACCTGGTTTGACTTCACCAAGGGCACCCACATTTGCAAATGAGGCTTGCATCTTCGATTTCTCTTTTTGCAGCCATGCTAATGTCGAACATAACAAAGAAAGGGTTTTGCCAGTACCCGTTGGTGATTCCAAGGCTGTATCAAATCTCTGAATTCAACCATTCTTTGACGATAAGTTAGTTGGTAATTCTCAACATACCATTTCAATCGCTTCTATGACTTTGTCCATATATGCCATTTGACATTGATAGGGGGAAAAAGGAAACATGACGTCCACACCACGAATATTTACAGTCGCCATGGATGTTAGTGTTAGTAAATTTACAAATAAAGTATTCTGCAAGAAAGTTTCCATTGGAGCACCAGCTATAATCTCTTTGTCATGAAATGAACACAAGAAATACGGAAACTTCAAGCCTGCGAAAAGAAAACCGAGTTAGAAAAGGCAAACTGCATGAAACAGCGGTTTTCAAATGCAGTTCTTTCCCGCGACAACGATCGATGGCGCGGATGCGAAATTTTCAACTGCTGACGTGGCAGGAACAATTGTCGACAAAAGCGGGCAAGCTATATTTGCCCATTATCAGCAAGCGACAGAACATTCCAAATAACAATTTTTTCCCAAGGTAGCCTAGACACCCGAAGACAAATGTGATGAAATCGGTTTATTCTCGCTTGCATTTTTAATCTCTGTTGACTCGTGTACTCATAATGATTTGGTTACTAAGCGTATACCTATCGACAAAGGTAGGTACAAAAACTGAAAGTCCAAAAATTTGAAGATTTTGCGGTCCATTTTTATTTTTTTCCGCGCAACTAGTGTCACTAGTGCGGGAGTCCATGCACCGACAGGTCATGAAGATTTTTCTTCTTCAAGTAATTGATATACTGTATCGAGATGTTGTACTATTGTATCAGATGAGGACTAGACCCAGTGAATAAGACACATTTACAAGATATTTATTTATTTACAGAAGCAATGCCGATAACCGTTAAGGCTTTATGTGAGGCAAGAACAAGAGAAGTTTGGAGATGCATGGTACAGATCTCGCTTTTGAAGCGGGCAGTGAAATAAACAAAATGCAAAAATGATGAATGAACGAAGTTGAATGATGGCACAATATTTTGATAAGCGATCGAGTAGGATATATATATTTAGAGATACACAATCACAAATATTAAAAAA